ATCAAACTGTGAAATATGATATATTAAGAACTGTGTAATGTTTTGAACTACCAACAATAAAAAATAAATAAATAAATAAATAACGAAGTCAAATTTAAAAAAAAAAAAAAAGAAAATGCTAGTTCTGGAGCTTTTGCCCAGAGACATTAATTCCAGTATTTTATAGTCATACTTGGTACCTTTTAACTGCCTTATAAATTCCCAGTGTGCATCTGTATGTTTTAATTCTTCCAGTTAAATGATAAATCCCTTAGGAGAGAAAAGTTTACTTTTTTAAAAATACTTTTTTTTAGTTGTTGATGGACCTTTATTCTATTTATTTGTATATGGTGCTGAGAATCGAACCCAGTGCCTCACACATGCTAAGTAAGCGCTCTGCTACTGAGCCACAACCCAAGCCCAAGAAGTTTACTTTCTTTGATATCACCAGCAGTGCATTTAGTAGGTTCTCAACCACCCTATGTCAATTGATGAAGGAGTAATAGGGGCAGGGTAAAGCATTAGTTGATAACTGTTAGTGTCAGTATAATCTACAACAATTTCTTAACTATTTATTGGTATTAACTTTAAAATATACATGTATTATTATAGAAGTCTGTGGTGACTCTTAAATTGGTATTTGGGTATAATATCATTAAGTGTTCATATTGGATGAGCTCATTTCTTCCTTGGAAGAAGACTAGAAAGAGATTCTCATAAAGTAAGTTTGATGGGGGACAGACGTTTGTCTTAATCTGACTTCATCATTTGTTTTGGTTTCCTAGGGCTGGGGGTTTAGCTCAGTGGTAGAGTACTTACCTCCCATGTACAAGGCCCTGAGTTCAATCCCCAGTACCACACAAAAACAGTTTTTAGTTTCTTTACATCACTGACAAACTGCAAAGGTGTAAGGTTTTATATGATGAAAGCCTGTAACATTTCAGAACCACTGGAACACATTTTATACATTGATACAAAGGAAAAAAAATCAAAATACTTTTTTTTTTGCTAGAGCAATATAGTAGTAGTTGGGTTTATTCCAATAAATCAAAATGCTCTTTTTTAAAATGCTTTTTTCAACTCTGACAGGTTGTACCAAATATCTTTTATAAAAAATACGGCAATGACGCAGCCACATCAGTGGACTGTCTTTGGTCTACTTAGATTACCTAATAGCTTAGATTTCCACAGGAGTTGATATTTAGCTCCCTCCTCATTCACTGAGCTTGTAGGTTCATTCATTTGACATTAGAAGGATTTGAGAATAACTATAGGTCTATAGTTATTGGGGTGCAGTTTCCTGCTTTCATATAGAAAGTTGGTCAAATGTTAATATTAACCCTTGTTTTAATTTTTTTTCCAGAACCTTTGTTTCATTTTGCCACAGTTTTTGTACCAGTTCTTCTGTGGATTCTCACAACAGGTTTGTGTCTTGTGTTGTTTATTATAATATAGTTTACATTTGCTGTTAGTATGTTACCTTTTAGGTATTAGATTAGAAGCATTAGATAGGTGTGTCCAATAGTAAAAGGATTTCTTTTTGGATTCAAAAGTTGATCCCCTTGACCTGGTTTTATACTAACAAATACATTTTGCTAACTTTCTTTCTTCACTATTTAAATCAGTGTTATTGGAGGTATTTATTATGGGTACAACTATAAAATATTCCCACTTTAGTGCATTTTTCCTTGATTGTTGAGAATGTATTGATGTATATACCACGAAAAGGTTTCCCTATTCCTCTCTCTAGTCCTCCCACCCAAATACCTTGGATTTACATTCTTTCACTATAAACCTATATTCTAGAATCTCATATGAATGGATTCTTTTTTAAAAAAATATTTTTTTTTAGTTATGGATGGACAGAATGTTTATTTTTATGTAGTGCTGAGGTTTGAACTCAGTGCCTCACATGTGCTAGGCAAGTGCTCTACCACTGAGTTAGAACCCCAGCCCCATAATGGATTCTTATAATCTTCAGTGTCTGACTTCTTTTGCTCAACCTGTATTTATACTCTTTCATGTTATTGTGTGAATTGTTGCTGAGAAGTACTCTACTGGATTGACATAACATATTTCATTTCACCTGTTCTATGACATTTGGGTTTTTCTTTTTATCTGTTCTTATTAGTTATACATGATAGTAGAATATATTTTGACATTATACATATATGGAGTATAACATCTCATTCTTCTGGTTGTACATAGTGTAGAATTACATTGGTCATGTAATAATATATGCACATAGGATAATAGTGTGCAATTCATTCTATTATCTTTCCTATTTGTATTCCCCCTCCCTTTCTTTCATTCCCCTTTGTCTAATCCAGAGTGCTTCTCTTCTTCCCTTATCCACCCTGCTTATTGTGAGTTAGCATCTGCATATCATCTGACCTTTGGTTTTGGGGGATTGTCTTATTTCACTTAGCATGATATTCTCCAGTTCTATACATTTATTGGCAAATGCCATAATCTCATTCTTTTTTATGGCTGAGTAATATTCCATTGTGTATATATACC